CATTTTTTAGACCCTGCATTATTTTACGCAATGAAAGAAAGAAACACTTGCATTTATGTAGTGACTTTCATTGCCATAGAATGCACCAAAGCCACTGAAGTACTTTCTGAACTTTCATCACTGTTCTGGTGTAGGAAAACAGGAGTTTGCACACAGAAAGATCTCACAAATAGCAATGTGATAATAGCCTTTTTTGTGAAACCGAAGGGAGAATGCTAGAGACCCTCTGAAGGTCTGGCATCTTTGGAGAAAGAAGCGAAGTTAACATTTCGAGTTGTGTATGACTCTTCTTTGGAAGTTTCTCCAACATTCTCTGTGTTTGTTTCAGATTTCCAGCATCCATGATATTTTGTGTTAATTCTGTATATTTTTGTCACGTGGGTTTAGGAATAAACATTGCGCACAGAATACCTAGAGAACTCCCCTGATCTTCTTTGAAACATAGGATATTTCAGGTTCCCTCTGAGAAAGCAGATGGAGCAATGGTTGAATGCCTTATCCAGAAGACAGCATCTCCAACAATGTAACAATCCATCAGAACTCCCTGGGAATGTAGAAATCCATCAGAACTCCCCAGCAGTTTCATCTTTTAGTTTGCATACAAGTCCTGGATCAAGATCAAACCCACACTTACTGACTGAAAGTCAGGAGTATTACCCACTGAGTTAAAGCTGACTAAATGTGTGTTAAAGGTCTGTGGTGTACTGAAAACTCTATGTTCTGACCTTTAGCACATTCCTCATTATAGTTGCTTCACTGCTGGCAGCTGTGCTTTTGCCCCGAGTCCCTCAATTTCCTCATGGCTTCTTTTTTCAAATTCATTCACGCGATGAGGACATCACTGGCTGGGCCAGCAATTTATTGCTCAGAGGGCAGTTAAGAGTCAACCACATTGCTATGGTTCTGGAGTCACATGTAGGCCAGACCAGATAAGGATGGCAGTTTCCTTCCCTGAAGGACATTATTGAACCAGATGGGATTTTTCCTGATGATCAGCAATGGATTCACAGTCATCGTTAGATTCTTAATTCCAGATATTTATTGAATTCAAATTCTACCATCTGCCATGGCAGGATTCAAACCCAGGTCCCCAGAACATTGCCTAGGTTCCTGGATTAACAGTCCAACAATACTACCAGTAGGCCATTGCCTCCCTTTGGGTCAGTCTCAGTTAAACCTAATCTTTGTTCAAGCTTTCGGTTACCTGTCCCAATATCACCTCCTGGCTTAGCGTCGCATTTCGGCTGATAATCTCTCCAGTGAAGCCTTGGGATGTTTTACTTTCAAAAATGTGCTACATAAATGCAAGCTATTGTTGTTGTGGTTGGAGCCCTCTGTTATGAATGCAGTTGTTGGCAAGCAGTGATGTCTAGAAAACAAAAATAGGGAGCTTTGAAATTGGGAGTTTTTTTCTTTATTCATTAACGGGATGAGGGCATCGATGGCTAGGCACCATTTATTGTCCATCCCTAATTGCCCAGAGGGCAGTTGAGAGTCAACCACATTGCTGTGGGTCTGGAGTCACATGTAGGCCAGACCAGGTAAGGATGGCAGTTTCCATCCCTAAAGGACATTAGTGAACCAGATGGTTTTTTCCAACAATCGACAGTGAATTCATGGTCATCATTAGATTCTTAATTCCAGATATTTATTGAATTCAAATTCCACCATCTGCCATGTGGGACTCCAACCCAGGACCCCCAGAATGTTATCTGGATCTCTGGATTAACAGTCCCGTGATAATACCATTAGGCCATCGCCTAATGGAAAGGGGATTGGAAAAAAAAATGGTATCCTGTTTTAGTGGTTCTCCCACCTAATGACATCTGAATGATTTATTTGAGATGCTCCATGCAATTTGACGACCAGCTTTGCTAAGCCACCACTGGGATGATATGTTGCTGTCATATAGGCCAGGAAAGATATGTTTCCACTGGCAAAAGAGATGTATTTTCTGCATCTTTGAACATTAGTATCTGTTAAAAAGGAAAAAGCTTCTGCAATTGATTTTCTTAAGCATGCGTAAATGATGGCCAGGTGGCATCAAAATGTTATTCTTGTGACACGAGTAACACAAGTACTTAAAGATTCATTGATACTCCTCAATGAGGCTGGTTAGTCTGCTGTCAGTGAGACTCTCAGGAAATTTGGGGATGCAGTCCCCTCGGCAAGCATGGTATAGAAACAAGCAGAAATTTCAGCATATACTGTATTATTTCTAGCACAGAAACAGGCCATTCAGCCCATCTAGTCTGTGTCGGCAGTGTTTTTGCTCCACACATGCCTACTCCCACCATACTTCATCTCACCCTATCAGCATACCCATCTACTCCTTTCTCCCTCGTGTTTATTCGGCTTCCCCTTGAATGTATCCATACTATTGATCTCAATCTGATAATACATTCTCACCACTCTGTGGGTATAAATAGTCTTCCTGAATTTATTAGCCACTGTCTGATATTATTGACTCTGATTCTGATCTCAACTTCAATACGTTTTTCTCCACCTTCCCTTGTTTTTATTAACCTATTTTTCCTAATAAACCTGTTCAGAGATTTTTGGAGCAGATGGCACCTGAAGCCAGGCCTCCCAGTCCACGGGTAGGGACTCTACCTCCATGCCACAAGAGCTTTCCACCTTCCCTTTTGAACCCTATCATCTTAAAGACTTCTGCCCTGTCACTCCTCCAAAGCAGAGAATCACAGTCTGTTCAGCCTTCCCTGACTGGTATAACCAATCAGCTCTGTTATCATTCTAGTAATTTCTGTTGCACTGCCTTTGCTCCCTGTGCTAAGTACAAATTTTAAACCATTGGTTTCCATTGAATATCAAAACTGCATGGCTTTGGCCTGCAGTTTCCTACTTTCGCCAGCAGAGGCTGCTAAAGCTACACCTATTGAATCTTGCAGTCTGGATCACTGCAAACCAATTCTGTTTGAAATCCCCATATCTGACAGCAGAAATCTCTCTGTCATGAGCTCTAATTATTTCTCCACGATTTTTTTTCACCACGGCACCTAATTCTTGTACTCAAGCTAGCTAATAGAATCATAAATTTCGCCCATCATGCCTGCACCTGTTCATTACATGGGCATCATTATCCAATGCCAATCTCCTGTTTTTTCACCATACCCTTGCCATTAATTTTATCCAGAATAACCCTCTAATGCCCTCTTGAATGCCTCAATTCAACCTGCCTCCACCAGATTTTCCAGCATCCAGACCCAAACTACTCAGAGAGTTATACAGTCATAGAACTGTACAGTACAGAACCAGACTCTTTGGTCCAACTCATCCATGTTGACCAGATATCCGGGATAAATCTAGTCCCATTTGCCAGTATTTGGCCCATATCCCTCTAAAGCCTTCCTATTCATATACCCATCCAGATGCCTTTTAAATGCTGTAATTTTACCAGCCTCCACCACTTCCTCTGGCAGCTCATTCCAGACACGCACCACCCTATATGTGAAAATATTGCCCCTTAGGTCCCTTTTAAATCTTTCTCCTCTCACCTTAAACCTATGGTCTCTAGTTTTGGACTCCCCCACCCTAGGGAAAAGACCTTGCCTATTTACGCTATCCATTCCCCTTATGATTTTATAAACCTCTATAAGGTCACCCCTCAGCCTCTGACGCTCCCAGGAAAATAGCCCCAGCCTATTCAGCCTCTCTGTATAACTCAAACACTGCAACCCTGGCAACAGCCTTGTAAATATTTTCTGAACCCTTTCAAGTTTCACAACATGTTTGTATGAGAAGCGTTTTCTTCTCTTCACCCTTGCTTCTTCTGAAAATCACTTTAAATCTGTTCTTGTTCCTTTTACAAGTGGAAAAAGGTTCTCCCTATCTACTCTATCCAGCCCCTTGATGATTTTGAAAAATCTCAATCAGATCTCCTCCCAGCCTTCTTCTTTCCAAAGAGAACAATCCCAATTTCTTCAATCTGTCCTCATAACTGAAGTTCCTCATCCCTGAAAACATTCTTGCAAACTGATTCTGGGCTTTCTCCAAAGCCCTCACATCTCTCCCCAGGACCAGCCCCCAGAACTATGCCTGACCCCATCACCTCCTGGTGTACTGGATATCAGCCACGTGAAGACTCCATTACCAGGACTGTGGACTTGCACTTCTGTAACATCATCTGCATCCTCTCTATACTTCTGTGCCACCTGGAGACTTGAAATATTGCTGACACCGGCCTCCTACATTCAACCTGCTGCAAGCATCAGTTCATCCCAAACTCTGCTGCTCATTGCACTAAAACATTCCAACACACTTCATAGCCATATTTATTGGAGGCAAGGTTTTGCCCCGAGTTATCGAGGGTGATATCAGGACTGATGACCAAAAGCTTGATCAAAGTAGTATTAGGTTTTGAGAAGCGTCAGAAAGGCAGAGTGAGAGAGACACAGAGGCAGAGTGGGTATATTTCTGAACCTAAAGGCCCAGGCAGGTGAAGTCATACCCATCATAGGTGGATTGATTACCAACAATGATGACCGAGATCAGAACTGGAGGAGCACCAAGATTTCAGAGGATTGTGGGGCTGGAGGAGACTATAGAAACAGGGACAGACACAGCCCTGGAGGGATTTGAATACATGCTTGAGAATTTTGAACTTGAGGTGTTGGGAGCCAATGTAGCTGTGCACAGGAAGGTGATCACAGAATTGTTACTGTGTGAAAGGAGGCCCCTAGGCCCATTGGGTGAGTGGGGTTCGATCTGGATCAGAACAAGGGGAAGTGGAGTTTGGGATGAACTCAGGTTTACAGGGTGTAGAAGTTGGGAAGCCGACCAGGAATTTGGGGCAAATGCAGAATGCCAGAAACCATAAGGCATAGTGAAAGCCTGTTAGCAGAAATAATCCGTTAACCGGTGATCTTTACCGACTTATCAACACGCTTGTGAATGTAAAGTGTTAGGTGTGCTGCCTAAATGTGTGTGCTCGATAACTGTTTGCAATATGTAAAGTGACTAACCAGTGACACTTCTGGCAGGGAGTGTCTATGAAGGCAGTGGATACCTCGATGCTCAAACATTTTTACCGTCTGTGAGGTGAGAACAAATTGTCACACTACTGGTGCTGATGTGCACTTTTCAGCACTGTTTCCACATATTACTTCACTGTGTTAATTCACCACATCTCAATGCAATCCGACACTGTTATTCCTTTCTAACCATAAACAACAGGGATAAAGCTGGCACAATCTGAGCAATGGCAATAATCGTCCACGACTTTTGTTGATTATATCCTTGTGCTGTCCTCTGCATCTGTGCTTTACCTTTAACTAACCTCACCTTTAATTAACCTCACTTCCCCACTTGGGGCTGGGTGGGGAGGGGAACAGGGAACGGGCACTTCACTAACACTGCAAACTTTTACTTGTATTGCACACTGTTAACTCTGAGATTGTTATATACGGTAAAGTAAGTAAAGTCACCATAGTCCCTCTGGAGCGTAGGGCTGCTCTCTCATTAGAGAGAGGGGACTGGAGGTGGTTTAACTTGAAGGTCACCGCACCTCAGGCAAGGGTGAGGTTGAGAATGAGAGATCTTGCGACTCCATAACCAGAGAAGGGAAATAGGATATTGGCCAGTGTAGGTCAGAAACCGAAAGTGGGAGGTAAACAGGGATTGAACATTTGGGGGAAGGGGCTTGGTCAGGTACAGGTAGGACAAACATCAATGGCCTTTTCCTCACAATACTGACCTCGAGCCCTCCATATACAAGAGGCACATGTCCACCCTCAACCTTCCAGCTTTGTGCTCCAGTGCTAGATGCCAGGCTCCCCAGTCTCATAGAAACAGCACGAGGCCATTCAGCCCCTTGAGCCCATTCTGCCAGTCAAGTAGATCACGTGCTTCATTTACGCTCTAGCGGAGGCACGATGGGCTGAGTGGCCTCCTCCACTGTGTCATTCTATCATTCCAGTTTCCTACAACACATATAAGCCTTCCCCTGCCATTGGGGATAACTACAAATCCAAGTTCCCACAGTAACACCCTCCCCTCCCCTCCCCACAATCTTGCATCAGTAAGCTAACAGCGTTCTGTGCTCTCTCCACTGGCTGACCTAACTGAAAAGAAAGATTTAAAATTCCATCTTGGAAAACTCCCAACTTTGCAATTACTAACAGACAAGACTATGACCACCGTCTTAAGGGCAACAGACAGCAATGCTGGCCAAGCCAACAACAAGCACATCCTGTGAAAAAATAAAATAAAATTAACTTAGAAACACATTAACAGGACTGTGCTGTATGGGCCATAAAGAAAAGCTAGCCAATCTGATCCAACGTTCCACCTCTTGGTCCATCACTCTGTATGTTGGGGCAGGTCAGTTGCATGTTTGGCATGATGAGGGTTTCTGCCCCTTAGTGGCAGAGAGTTCCAGACCCTCCACTGCCCATTGCCTGTAAAATTTTCCCAACTCCCAATCTAATCCCTCCACCAGTTACTTTAAATCTGTGACCCTGGTTATTTATCTCTAGTTAATGGAAATATGCCCTTCTCATCTCCTCTATCTTGCTCCTTGGTATGTTATAAACTTCAATGAAATGTCACTTCAGCATCTTCGTTCCAGACAAGACAACTCCAGCCTAACCAGCCTTGAAAACAAAGAAAATTAGAGCAGGAATAAGCCATTCAGCCCATTAAGCATACTCCACTTTTCAATGTAATCATGCAACTCAGTATCCTGGTCCCACTTTCTCCCTGTACCATTTAATCCCAAAAGTCCTAATAACGATATTTATCTCCTTCTCCAAAACATTCAACGTTTTGGCCTAAACTGCTTTCTGTGGCTGAGAATTCAACAGGCTCACCCCTCTCTAAAACTTTTTCATCTCAGTCTTAAATGGCATACCCTATTTCCTTAAACTGTGAACCTTGGTTCTAGACTTCCCAGTCATTGGGAACATACTTCCTTTGTTTATCCGGTCTTGAATTTTATAGGTTTCCGTTAGATCCTCCCTCATTCCTCTAAATGACACTGAATATAGTCGTAACCCATCCAGTCTCTTTTTCATAGGTCAGTCCTGCAATCCCAGGAATCAGACCGGTAAACCTTTGCTGCACTCCTTCGGTAGTCAGAACATCCTTCCTCAGATAAGGAGGCCAAAACTTGCACACAAATAACTACTACAGGTGTGGTCTCATCAAGGCTCTGTACAACTGCAGCAATCACACATCGTAAATGAACTTGTCTGTTCCCGGCACTAGCCTTATAAATCTCTTTTGTGGCCTGTCTCTCACAGGAACTCCCTTGTGCTCCTTGCTCTTAATTTACCACTGTTTATTGCCTGTTATGTGGACACTACACAATGATTGAGATCTCCTAAGTACTGGGCGACATAGGAGCAATCTGCCTTGAAGACAACACAGATGAAATCTGGTTATTGACCCATTTCCAACAACATCACAACAAATTGCATTTATATAGTGCCTGTAACGTATTAAACTGGCCTAAATGTGTTTCACAGCAGGGCTACCAAAATAGAAAATTCACACTAAACTACGTAAGATAATGTCACCACAAGAGACCAAATATTTAGCATATGGCCATTATATTTGACTTCATTTAATGTTTTTATGTATATAAATATAAGGAGAAAAATATTTTTTTGCCATATGTGTTTCTCTTTGCTTGTTTATTTACAGATACAAGAAAACCTTTGCCACATGACCCTGAATCTCCAAATCAACCAGATTGGTACAGCGTTTACATCTGAATTGGGGTTCCATTAGAATGGGCTGTGGAACAACTACAGGGAACATTTGTGTTAATGCGGAGCTTAAGTTGAATCTTGTAGAAGTTGTAAATGATTTTTGGTCTTCATCAAAAAGAAGAATTCAATTGATTTGAATGACTCTTTGCTAAATATTAAAACAGATATGTATGTTAATTTGTTAGTGAAGACGTAGTAGCCATGGGCTTCTTAATGTTTTTCAATTAGTACCTGGAAATATCCAGTATTCGTTCATTACTGAAGAAGTGTAAATATTCAACATTTCAAAATGATAGAAGATGGGATCACCAGCACGATTTGAGTTTTTTTTAAAAAAGTTATTACGTATGTGATTAGCAATTCCTTCTTGGCTATGTACTGTCCAATCACATGCCAGATGTGTTCTATATTTAACCAATTCAAATAAAGATGTCAGAAAAACATACATGTGCTTGTTGAATGAGCAGTGGTCCAGTGAATCACATGCGATAACAACAAATTGCATTTATGGAGCACCTTCAAGGTAATAATACATATCAAAGCACTTCACATCATTATCCAACAGATTTAGCCATGGCACCCCATAAGGAGATCCGAAGACAGGAGATGAAAATCAAAGAGGCAAGTTTTGACAACCTCTTGATGGAAGATAGAAAGCAAAAGGTTTTAGGGACAGGAGAGCTCAAGACACAACCGCTGGTAGCAGAGTGATTAAAATTGGAATGTATTTACATGTGTTTCTGCCTCTCTCTTGACTTAATTCAGGTGTCAAATTCATAATTGGTTGTTAAATCTGCATGTTTAAACAAAAGGGCAGACATACCTGCAAATGCAAGTGACTTGAAGGAATTTTTGGAACAAATGGAAATTGGCACTACAGTTAGTATAAGTGATGTCTGTGTGTGCTATTTAGCTTCATAAGGAACAAACAGCTCTTCCCATTTCTCTGCTGGAGGTAACACATCTTTAAATCTGGAAGACTCTAGATCTTGTCCTTGTCTCTGGCTATATGTTGAAAATTTGTTTCAGATATGTTGCTGCTTGGTGGGAAAACTGATTGAACTTTTGGACAGAATATTCCACTGTTTTTCCAGTATAGTTCTTGGAGGTAGGGAGGAAGGAGGTGTAGAGAGGCTGACCAGGTGAGGAGATTGAAGGACAGAAAAAAAACCTCAATTATTAAGCTGTTCCGTGTTGTAAGGAAAACCACCAAATTCCAGCAATTCAAAATGGAAATCTTAAAGCATAAAAGCAAATTTATAGAGTCATACAGCATGGAAACAGATCCTTTGGTCCAACAAGTCCACGCTGACCATGTTCCCAAACTAAACTAGTCCCACTTGCCTGCGTTTGGACCATATCCCTCCCAACCTTCCCTATTCATGTACTTATCCAAACGTCTTTTAAATGTTGTAACTGTACCTGTATTCATCACTTCCTCTGGGAGTTCATTCCACACACTAACCACTCTCAAAGTTGCCCCTCAGGTCCTTTTTAAAACTTTCTCCTTTCACCTTAAAAATATGGTCCCTAGTTTTGAACTGCCCGACCCTAGGGAAAAAATCATTGCCATTGACCTTATCTATGCCCCTCATGATTTTACAAACTTCTTTAAGGTCACCCCTCAACCTCCTATGGTCCAGTGAAAAAAGTTCCAGCCTATCCAGCCTCTCCCTATTACTCAACCCTACATTCCCAGCAACATCATGATAGATCTTTTGTGAACCCTCTCCAATTTAAGAGTATTCCTCCTGTAGCAGGTCAAACATAACTGCACACAGTACTTCAGAAGAGGCCTCACCAGTGTTCTACACATGACGTCCCAACTCTTACACTCAAAGGTCTGAGCAATGAAGGCAAGCATGTTAAACACCTTCTTAGCAACCCTGTCTACCTGTGACACAAACTTCAAAGAATTATGTACCTGAACCCCTTGTTCTCTCTGTTCTACAACATTACCCAGGCCGTTCCATTAATTGTATAAATCCTGTCATTGTTGTACAAAAATGCAATATCTCACATTTATCCAAATTAAACTCCACTTGCATCTCCTCCATTGACCAATTGATCAAGATCTCTTTGTAATGTTAGATAACCTTCTTCAGTGTCCATTATACCACCAATTTGTGAACAAATTCCTGTTGTCAGCAAATCAGAGTCGTCTGGTAAAATTGAGAGATCATTTGGATTTTCTTTATATAACAAGGAAACCACAATGTAGATAATAATAGGCCTAATATACCACCTAGGCTGGTGTTTATCCTCCACGTGTATCTTTAACACATTCTAAGGCTTCATAAAAAGGCAATTAAACAATAATTTGACACTAGGTCACATAAGGAGATATTAGAACAAGTTGGTTTTAAACAGCCTTTCAGTGGGGGAAGAGAGCTTTGGAGAGGGTTTAAGAGAGTGAATTACAGAACTCAACACCGAGACAGCTAAAAGCACAGTCACTGTACCAGAAATTAGCAATGCACATAATTCATTTGACACAACAATATATCTACTTTATTAGAGAATAATATAGCACAGCAGGAGGCCTTTTAGCCCATTGTGACTGTGCCAGTTCTTTTAAAGATCCATCTGACAAGCCCCCTTCTTTCCCCATACCTTGTAAACATTTCCTTCATAATGCAGAATATGAGTCAAATACCAGGAAAGAAACAACAGTTGCCAACAGGTTTCCCATTTTCCACTTTAATTGTATTGGCCTTGCAATTAACACAATATGTAGATACCATTTTTCTGATACCTTTTAGTCATGATTTTTCTTATATTTTATTAATTTGTTCACAGAATGTGGCATCACAGCTATGTCAATATTTATTATCCATCCCTAATTGTCCTAGAGAAGATGGTTTCAGTTGCTTTCTTCAACTACTGCAGTCCATGCAGCATAGGAACATCCATTGTGCTATTAGAAAGAGAGTCCCAGGATTTTGATCCAGTGACACTGAGGTAATGGCACTACCTCCAACCCCCTGCGCATTAATTTTACATGTTAATCTCTTACATGAGAGGATATCAATAGCCTTCTGAAAGTCCAAGTAAACCACATCCACCAGTACCCCTTATCAAATCTACCAGCTACATCTGTGGAAAATTTCAGTAGTTTTGTCAAGAATGATTTCTGTTTTGTAAATCCACACTGACTCTGTCCAACCCTGTCACTGTTTTTTCCAAGTACTCTTCCATAAATCTCTTATAATGCCCTCTAGCATTTTCCCGGAAACAGGAAACAGCAGCGTTGTTGTGGTGGGTGATTTTAGCTGCCTCTATATGGACTGGGACTCACTTGGTGCTAGTGGCTTGGATAGACAGAATTTGTAAAGACCCTTCGGGAGGGTTTCTTGACATAGTATGTAAACAGTCCAACCAGGGAAGGAGTTTTCTGAAGAAGGATCCTGACCCGAAACATCAGCTTTCCAGCTCCTCTGATGCTGCCTGGCCTGCTGCGTTCCTCCAGCTCCACACTGTGTTATCTCTGACTCCAGCATTGGCAGTTCTTACTATCTCTGAAGGAGTTTTCTGGACCTGGTTTTGGGAAATGAGCCTGGTCAGGTGCCTGAAGTTTTAGTGGGGGACCATTTCTGGAGTACAGCAGTCGCTGGTGAAGCTCTAAACTGGGGAAGACTATCTACAACAATATTAGCTGGGAACTGGAAAATTTCTATTGAAGGTGGCTGTTAGAGGGTAAATCCACATCGGACATGTGGGAGTCTTTCAAATGGCACGTTCCTGTGAGAATGAAAGGTAGGTGTGGCAAGTTACGTGAACCTTGAATGATGAGAGAAGTTATGACCTTGGTTGAAAAGAAAAAGGAAGCATATGTAAGGTCTAGGAGGATAGGAACTCATGAAGCCCTTGAAGTTTGCAAGGAAAATAGGAAAGAACTTAAAAAAGGATTAGAAGGGCTTGAAGGGGTCATGAAAAGTCATTAGCAAACAGGATTAAGGAGAATCCCAAGGCTTTTTATATACACTTATATACATATAAAGTGAGAGGGTAGCCAGGGAAAGGGTTAGCTCACTCAAGGACAAAGGAAGGAATCTACGTCTAGAGCCAGAAGAGGTAGGTGAGATCCTAAACAAATACTTTGTGTCGATATTCACCGAAGAGAAAGAATTGGTGGAGAATGATCTCAGGGAAGGGAGTGTGGAATTTCGAAGCCAAGTTGCTAATAAAAAGGAACAGGTGTTGTGCATCTTAAAAAGTATTAAGGTAGATAGATCCTTGGGTCCTGATGGGATCTATCCCAGAATATTAAGGGAGGTAAGAGAACAAATTGCTGGAGCATTGACAGACATCTTTGTATCCTCTTTGGCCACAGGTACGGTCCCAAAGGATACTGGAGAATATTGTCCCATTGTTTAAGAAGGGTAACAGGGATAATCCAGGAAATTACAGGCCTGTGAACCTCACGTTGATAGTAGGGAAATTATTGGAAAAGATTCTCAGGGACAAGATCTATACGCATTTAGAAGAAAATGGACTTAATAGCGATAGACAGCATGGTTTTGTGCAGGGGAGGTCATGGAGTTTTATGAGGAAATGATGAAGATTTTGAGGAGGGAAAAGCAGTTGACGTCTACGTGGACTTCAGTAAAGCCTTTGACAAGGTCCCTCATGATAGACTGGTACAAAAGGTGAAGTCATATGGAATCAAAGGTGAGCTGGCAAGATGGATACAGAACTGCCTTAGTCACAGGAGACAGAGGGTAGCGGTGGAAGGATGCTTTTTGGAATGGAGGGCTGTGACTTGTGGTGTTCCATAGGGATCAGTGCTGGGACCTCTGCTGTTCATGGTCTATGTAAATGATTTGGAAGAAAATGTAGCTGGTCTAATTAGTAAGCTTGTGGAGATACAAAGATTGGTAGAGTTGCGAATAATGAGGAGAATTGTCAGAGGATACAGCAGGATATAGATCAGTTGGAGGCATGGGCAGAAAAATGGCAGATGGAGTTTAATGTGGACAAATGTGAGGTGATGCATTTTGGAAGGTCAAGTACAGGTGGAAATTATGCACTGAATGGCAGAACCCTTAGGAATATTGATATGCAGAGGGATCTAGGTGTGCAGGTCCACAGATCACTGAAGGTGGCAGCACAGGTAGATGAGGTAGTAAAAAAGGCCTATAGCATGCTAGCCTTCATTGGAAGGGGTATTAAGCATAAGGATAGACAGGTTATGCTGCAGCTCTACAGAAGTTTAGTTACGCGACACTTGGAATATTGCATATAGTTCTGGTCAGCACACTACCAGAATGATGGTTGTCTAGACTGGGTTTGTTTTCACTGGAACGCAGGAGGTTGAGGGGTGACCTGATAGATGTTTATAAGATTGTGAATGGCATGGATAGAGTGGAAAGCACAAGGGTGGAAAGATCAACTACTCGGGGACACAGTTTCAGGGTGCCAGGGGGGTGAAGTTTAAAACAGA